ACTTAAACACTAGATTCAAAATTATTGCCTTGAAAAATATGATGCATAAGGTATCATCATTATTATTCACAACATTTTTTCATTAACTTCAACACTTAATTCAAAATTATTGCCTTAAAAAATATGATGCATAAGGTATCATCATTATTATGCACAAAACATGTAAAATAATACTCAAACGTGTATTCATAGCATTATAATTATATATATATAGGTCAAAATCACATTAGATATGATTTACAATATGGATCTTTTTGAATAGTCCAACCAAGCACGAAGAGGAACCAAATAGAGTAACAAAACAACTTTATAGCCTACTAGCTGCTTATATGTTCCATTTTATAGCATACTTTATATAGCTTACAAAGATACAGCCTACAATTATAGCTTATAATCTATAACTTAAAATTCCAAAATGTTTAAACCTTAAAAGAGATGCATAAAATGAAGTTGTAATTTGCAATTGAGTTGTTGATTTTTTTAGATGATGTTTGGAAGTGTTGTGTGGTTAGTTATGATGGTTTTTTTATATACAACACATGTAATGCATAAAATGCCACCACTAAAAACAAGTTTTACATGCCTTTTCTTACTTTTTTTATGGGTCCCATAAAAAAAAAAAAGAAGAGCAAACCACACCTCTATCCTGAACAAGCCTTTATTATTGTGTTACTTGCAATTTTCTTATAACTTTTAAGTCTTTTCTCTTTTGATTTTCCTTATAATAATCATAATTATAAGACTCGACACATGACTCAACCTAAGGTTTATGTCGTAGGTTAGGTGGGTCAACTCATGGATCGAAGGGTTGATTTGTGACCATGTTCTATTGAAGTTTTTGTTTTATTAAAATTACATCATTTTGAACCAAAAAAATCAAGAAATTGATGATCGAGTCTTACTCAAGTTTTGATTAGGTTTTCCTTGGATTTTGATCAGATCACCCGAGTCACGAGTTGACCTATCAGGTCACCCTAGTTTGATTAGGTCAACTCCCAAGGCAGTTTAAAAGCAAACTCAACTTGGGTAAGGTCCCAAGTCACCAAGTAGGCCTATCAACATAAGTTTGATAATCATGCCAATAATATCTCTTCTTTCACTTTTATGTATGTTTCATTCTCAATTGCACATGTTTTCTCTTAATCATGTGTTTCTTAAACTACATGGGTGTTTTATAACGAGTTTAAGGATTTTCTTATTATTTGCAATTATGATGTAATTTTTAAAAAGTTAAGTGATTCTTTAAATTATTGAAAAGATTTTTGAAATTCAAGTGTTCATTATAATTTATTATGTTATTTTTGAACTTTAAAAAAGTGTAGACATCTTTCTCCTAGACTACATATGAATTTGTTTAAGAAAATTATCTTTTTAAAAGGCATTCAACTCTTTCATTATGGTTAGGTAAAAAATATATGTAATCCCCTATAATATATTATAGGTTAGGCTCTATGCTTTTTTAGTACACAAGGTAACCCAAAAACTATACTTACCAAATACCTATTTGGTTAAGTACTAAAGAGGTTCTAATACAAATCCAAATAATTCAAGATTTTTTTGAAGATGATTAATATGTTGAGGTGGTGAAGATGGACTAGTGGACTAGGAGATCACTAAAAATCACAATCACTTGCAAAACAAGTCTCATGTTGGACTTAGAGGATCCTTTAATACTAAAACTAGAACAAATATGAGAGGCATAAAGCCTTGAAAGCTATATAGTGTATATGTTTGTAGAAAATATAATGAAAAATATGATAGAGATATGCATTGATAATCTTGGAAATTAGAATTTATGGAATTAAAACATGTCTTACCTGGTTGTTTATGGACATTTATATAGTTATAAACCACGTCAACTTGCATAAAGATAAAGAAATGAGAAAAACAATATGATACCTGATTTAGTGACAATAATTTATGGTAATGACTTATAATAGTTGTTAGTTCTAGTGTATATGTTTGTAGAAAATATAATGAAAAATATGATAAAAGTATGCACCGATAAACTTAGAAATTAGAACTTATAAAATTAAAACATGCCTTACTTGATGGTTCATGAACATTTATATAGTCATAAATCAAGCCAACTTACGTAAAGATAAAGACAAAATGAGAAAAACAGTGTGATACTTAATTTAGTGACAATCATTTATGGTAATGATTCCTAATAGTTGTTAGTTCATCATTGAGTGAAAGTAATATTGTCACGTGGTTTATTCTTTAGGTATAAGCATCTCTAATGTTGTGTTGTGAGTCTAGTTATGACATGAAAATATGAGAATATTTGTGTTTGGTACTACGGTAATTGTTGTGGTTGTGATTTGAAAAAAAATTATTTTATAAAAGTATTTTTAGTTGAGATAGGTTTGGAAAAATATATGTTTGGTTAAAACTATGGTTGAAATTAAGGTTGAACAAAAAATAGTTTAATGTTGATGGTTTTTAATTTAAATATGATAGATTTAACTATTGCTACTACATCATGTATGAAATACATCCGACAAAAATTACAGTTTTTGCAAATTTTTTAATAGCGCAACAACATCAAGTAAAATATAATCAGGAACAAAGTTGAGATTGCGATCAAATTTTACAAATGTTACGTCATTAAGCGATCTCTGTCTAATTTATGTAATGTCATTGAATAATATTTAATACTAGTTTTTTTAATAAAACACAATTAAAAATAAAAAAAAATATTCTTTTATTTTGCTCGGTTGGACCCGGTTCAATGCATTTTTAGCTTTGAACCAGACCCGGTTCGGCAAGAACAGTGGAGATATGCTTGACTATTCATTGAATAGCATGTTCCATGCTCTACTATTTATATAAACAGTTAAGTATGGCTACACTATTTATGAACTTTCTCCGCACAAGAAGCAACAAAAAGCTATTTTTTGTGATTTTGGTAAACTTGTGGCACACCTACAGTTTATAGAAGGTCTTATTAGTAAAAAATTATGTTTTTTTCAATACTAAATAATAATATTTATGGTAGCAGCTGAACCTCTCACGATACCAAATAATTGATTAATATAAAGTAGAAACTATAACGGAGATAAAGTAATTTATGTTTGGACTTCTTCTATTTGATTTTGTTTTTCAAATACATGTTATCTTGGATTTATGGATAATAAAGTTCACATATCTTTAAATCTGATAGATTTATCAGACACAGGTTATTTTACATAGAGTAAATATGTTTACATCCAATCTTGTGCATTTGGGTAAGGTTGTCCCTTTGCCAGGGTGCGTTCCCTTATTATTAGGCTGTGTGGAGATCTCAGATCTATTTTAAAGACTAGAGAATTATGAATAAGTTGGGTCAATTGTGCTTATCGGAAGTTATGTCACCTGTCTTAGATCTAGTGAAGCATTGAACTAAATGTCAAATGATATGCCTGAGCTCAAAAAAACATGGAGTCTGTACTTGTGCTTCGGCCCCCGAGAATATTTCATGGATGAAATGCTATCAGAGCGACATTGTGCCATTACATTCCTTGAACAAGTTTTGCTTTTCTTATCTTTCTTTTCCTTCCTTTTTCAACAAGCTCTGCGCCATTTATCGGCGTGTGGCATTACAGAAGACAATCATCAACTAAAAGCAATCATAACCAGATAACATGCCTGGTTCAACCTTTTTTTTTTTCCCCAAAAAAGAGGAGGGCTGAAAGCACTAATAGTTTGGAATATTTCCATGGAAGAGAATTGGGAATTAGGAATTTTTCCCATGATGGGAATGAATGAAAGATCAGATTTCCCTGTATTCAAATGTCTTCCATTGTCATCAAATGCGATGTGATGTTATGTTCTTGGAGAGGATAGAAAAGAGATTCGCCTTTTTTTCATTTTTTGTCAGAAGAAAAATAAAAGTTTATTCTTTTGCTTATTTTGCAATTTCATTAAATAAAACCATAACGCAATTGAAAACAAAATATCATGGAATAGTCATAACTATTTCCCAAAGTTTCTCAACATCTCTGCCCAATGGTGCAAGGTTATCTCTCCGTTTAAGAAAAGATAAAAAAAAAATATATATTGCTTGATACAATTTTTTGGCACAATTGTTCAATTTTCTTGCCCAAAGACGAAGTCTATTGCTTGTTCTTGCACGAAATATCATGTTTGAATACAGCATTTACTTAAACTTGTATGTTTTAATGCCCCCGAACACCCTCCGACTCTCTATTTTATTTCTTAATGAAATAAAATAAGAGTTTGAGATCCTGCCCTTGCTCCTAAAAAAAAAAAAAGTTCAGAGAGGCTCAGGTGATGATCCTGATCATCGACCAAGAACCTGTCATTTGAAACCAGCCGATGACAAAGACACGAGGAACACAAGATTAAAAAGAGAAACCAATATTATAGCCCACTACCTCAGGCTAATTAGGAATTGAGCGTGGGCATTTGGGGTCGAGGAGGGGAACCTACAGGCTACAGGATTTTCACATGGAGGGAGTTCAAGGACTCGGAAAGATAAAATGGGCTGTAACTGGAGCAGAAAAGGGAAAAGAGTCTCCTCAAAACGCTACCCATTTTCATGATAACCAAAGCAGCCAATTCAAACTTCAAAGGGATAATGAAAGGTCACGTGCATACGGAAATCAACCATCTTATCTCCTTTGAGATAGTGCCAAGATTTACATGATACAAAATAATAATGTTAGATTCCTTTTCTAAACCTTGTATAGATTATAGACACTTGGATTATGCTGTCTTGACCATCATGATTTTTTGTCTAATAAAGAATTGCATTCTCCATCCAATGCTAGTTGTGGTATGGCATTCAATGAGGGGAGGGAATCTATAGCATTTGAGAAAAAGATAGCCAAATAGTCTACCTACTCCATTAAGAGCCCTCTACTTCTGCAGATAAATCCAATGTCATAAAATTGTAATCGAATAGAGAAGAGAATTTAAAATTAGCATTTTGAAGATCTAGTTGGGTGCCGATTCCACGTTTTCGAAAGAGAGAGAACGGTTGTGGAAAGGACCTTGTGCCAAATACCAAGGGAATCCCATATCACATCAAGTACTCCTTTCTGTGTAGAAACTAATTCTCAACAAATAATTCGGAATTCACTGCATTACTAGCTAAGAACTTGATCCAGCTCCTATGGGACTACAAGTTTTTAGTATACAGTGGCAAGGGGGATTTGGAAGTTAATTACTGTTGCTGACTAGGTATTGAAGATAGCAGAGTTAGCCATTCTCATCTCCATTACCTTCTTATGAGAGTTGGAGTGCAAATAGCTCACAAAAGTAGGACTCTTTGCTGGCCTGTACTCCGGCAGTAACCTGCCTGACTTGTATCTTACTCCACATGCATTGCAGAGTGTTTTTGGACCCATGGGTCCTGCCCTCCATTGTGGGGTCCTTTGTGCAAGGCAATGGGTGCACCTCCTTGGTTGCTGCTGTCCATTGTCGCTCTCCAAACTGCCTATACTGTCCTTGCTACTGCTACTCCCTACTTCTACTACCTTTCCTTGGTCCTCCTCAACATCACCTTCCACTCCTGATTTTTCTTGTACCTCACCATCCATGCCTCTGTTGTCGCTACCATCTTTTATGGGCGTAATGAGTTCACTATCAGCTAACCAATGTGTTTGCTGGAGCAAAGGAGGGTCTGGGCATGCCAAATTAAAGGTTTGGTTGGTATAACACCAGCTAGTTATTGGGTTTCTGCTTCTGTCACCAGTAGTCCTTCTTCTCTTGCTTCTTGCCTTTCCTGGGATTGCAAGTTTCTTCAAGGAAGATGGGTTTTCTTGGTCTTGGGGTTTCTGTTGCAAGGGTTTTGGGGGGTTTTCTTCTGTGTTTGTCTTTTGAGCATCACTTTTTGGTGCTGGGAGGCAGTTTCCTGTGCTGGATAAGCAGTCTTCTACAAATACTGACAGCCATTCCATGCTAAAATCAACTTCCTGTACCAAGGCAAAAAAAATTGGCCTTAATGAACTGGGTGGCACAGACAGAAACTGATAAAACCCAGCAAAGATTGTCACTTTCCAAGTTCATTTGAACACATAAAGTAGTTCAAAGAAAATATGCAGACAAAATCTAGCAAAAGAAACAGAAACCAGAGGCATAAGAAGCAAGAACTAGAAGAAAGAACTGAACACAAAAGGTACAAAAAAAAAAAAACACTATTTTGCAGCACCAACTTTGCTAAACCCTTGAGAGCTGACGATATCTCAAAAAGGTTGAAAAACTGTGCATAAAAAAGACATGAAAGAAACTGAAGAAGACCCACCGTGTTTTGAGCAGCGAAGAGGTCATCAAGAGGACTATTACTAGCGGCGGCAGCAGTAAGCTTAGAGCAAGGTGGAGGGGAAGCAAGGACATGCTCTTGCTGGTGATGATACTCACCGGAAACTCTCACATTCCGGAAAAAATCCATGGCCAAGAAAGGGAAATTAATGTTTGAAACGAAGAAGAAGCACAAGGAGAAAGTGAAGGAAAAGCAAAGAAAGAAAAAGGGAAATGGCGCATTGTCTCAACGAGAGTAGCCCTTTTATGGCCTGAGTTTTCTGTCGGCATATAAAGCTAAAGAAACAATCAAAGTTACAAACTAGCAGTAGTTTTTTTTTAAAAAAAAATTAACACAGTAAACTTAAAATTTTAAAAGAATAATACTGCTCGATAAAAAAATTGATGAAATAGTATACTTTAACCGTATATTATTTCAAAAAACACGATATTCTATAAATACTACATCCCTGAAATGCGACAACTTAAAAGCTTGGTGTTGAAATGGGAGGTGTAGGACAAAATGAAAAGGAAGTATGGTCTCTACTCTACCCCAGCACTAGACATAAGCAAATTCCTGACATTTGCTACAGCAACAAGAAGATGAGGACATGCCCTGAGCAAGTTCCAGATAAAATTATTCTTCATGCTAATCTTTGTGCGCATGGCCTCAACTGATCGATTCACTTGCTTCAAGACTTTCATCCTTACCATTTACTTTCTTGACAGCACAGTTGCCAGCCCTATGCTCCGGTATCTAAAAATTGGATAAGAAATCATACAAAATACCACTGCTTCTCAATTTATCTGATTCCTGGAATTACTTGGGTAAAAGGGTAAATGAGGAGTTGCGGGCCTTTAGTTGAAAGGAAGAGCTTGATGTTGAAATGAGAGGCTACGGGTTTGAACGAGATTTAGCATAAGACAAGATGAAAAGAAAGTATGGTCTCCGGTGATTATGGACAAGGAGGATGGAAATAGATGATTCTTTTTAATTTGTTTAAATGAAGTTGTTCATTAATTTCATCAAAAATTCATTATGTCGTGGTTTTTAACTGTGATATTTAGTTAAATATTGGGTTTTTAGACTGTAATTTTAATTAAATATTATGGTTTTGAATAGTAATATTTTAAAAATATGCTATTTATTTTTATTATGTAAATCTTATATTTATTGTGTTAATCGTCCAATTTATCCTTGTAAACCACACACTTATTTTTCTTTTCCTTTATTTATTTTTATTTTAAAATACTTATTACTAGTAGTTTGTTCGAAAACTAAATATTAAAGAATTTATATGTGGTGCTGAAATTGCTAGTTTGAGCTTCTAAAATAAATTTTATCTCAAGCATTATAATATTTTTATTTTTTTATTTTCAATTTAAGTCCTATAATTCCATAACAAGGTTATATTGGAAAAAATATAAATGATAATATATTTTTTTGGAGGGCGTGTGATTTTTTTTATTCTTAAAGATGGTGAAGAACTGTAGCCAGGGAGATGTTATCCTGAAGTAAATGCATGTCTGGTAATATCTTGAAGTCTCTATCCCTTTCTCTTTTTCTCTAGAAAAGATAATAGAACTGGAGTCTTCGGCAAACAACACCCTAAAAAAAATTAAAAAGATTGGCAAGCATAGTTTATAAATCCAAAACAAAAAAAAAAGATTGGCAAGCATAGTTTATAAATCTCGTTGATTTACCTAAAAAAAATGAGAATTGAAACCTCATTCAAGTTGGATTTTTAATTGAACCAGATAAAACATTAACATAAAACTTAGTTGACTTAACCAAGTTTTTAGTAATGTTTGGTGATATTACAAACTAAATTAAGTTAATATTAAGAAAATTTGCAAGTGCACTATGTCAACTTGCAATAATCAAATGATAAAGAGTCAATTAAAAAAAGAGAACATCTATTATTCGAATTCTACCTCTTGCATTTCACAACCCACATGTAAATGTATGATAAACTAGGACTTTGAGTTGACGGGCTCTCCCTCGTGATTTAGTTCTTAAGAGTAGCCACCTACTCATGAGCTGAGTCTAAAGATATATTTATGATATCAAAAAAATTATGAAAATTTAATAAAATGATATAGTTTTAATAAAAAAAATAATTAATCCAATGACTCCTGAATTGACCAATATCCTAGTAACTCAAACAATTTTACAAGTATTATCACAACAAGTTCTACTAGTATTAACCAAAACTAATTGTGATTTAAAAAACATTATAGACACTGACTCATTTATGTTATTCACTAGAATAATATAATGGTTTCTTTTCCTCTGCTAACAAAAAGCAAAGGCCTTACCTTTAAGATATTTAAGTATTTTTGTAAAGTCATTAAAAGATTAATTTGAAATATGCATTTTTTTTAATTTTTTAAGCATAGTAAAATAACCTAATTTCCTTTCAAATTAAGGTTCATCAAACTAGCAAACATGGGTAGTGATGTCTTTATATTGTTTTTAAATACAATAAAATGATAAGTTTATACTTGGAATTGAAAAAAATTAAATTATTTATCTAGGGGTCTTTTGGTCTTTTTGCTCTATTTTTTTTGTTATTATCAAGTTCATCAAGGATATTTTAATCTTTTATCAAGATTTAATTATTTATTAAATTAAAAAATATGTTAGTGCCCGTGCATTTTGGAAAATGTATGCAATGCCTTCAAATAGAAAAAAATATTTTTTTTTCATGTCATCGAAAGCATTAACATATCCTTTTCCTCATGATGTGATGCATGTTTATGGTAATGGAACGGTTTGTTACTATTAGACCTTTTTTTCCTCTTATTTTCTCTTTTTTTTAATCTGAAAATTACATATTGATCCTCTTTGTTAATTAATCCAATGACTCATGAGTTGACCAATATTCTAGTAACTCAAACAATTTTACAATTACTATCACACACTGACTCATTTATGTTATTCACTGGAATAATATAATGGCTTCTTTTCCTCTGCTAACAAAAAGCAAAGGCCTTACCTTTAAGATATTTAAGTATTTTTGTAAAGTCATTAAAAGATTAATTTGAAATATGCATTTTTTTTAATTTTTTAAGCATAGTAAAATAACCTAATTTCCTTTCAAATTAAGGTTCATCAAACTAGCAAACATGGGTAGTGATGTCTTTATATTGTTTTTAAATACAATAAAATGATAAGTTTATACTTGGAATTGAAAAAAATTAAATTATTTATCTAGGGGTCTTTTGGTCTTTTTGCTCTGTTTTTTTTTGTTATTATAAAGTTCATCAAGGATATTTTAGTCTTTTATCAAGTTTTAATTATTAATTAAATTAAAAAATATGTTAGTGCCTGTGCATTTTGGAAAATGTATGCAGTGCCTTCAAATGGAAAAAAATTTTTTTTTTTCATGTCATCGAAAGCGTTAACATGTCCTTTTCCTCATAATGTGATGCATGTTTGTGGTAATGGAGCGATTTGTTACTATTAGACCTTTTTTTTCTTTTATTTTCTTTTTTTTTATCTGAAAATTACATATTGATCCTCTTTGTTGTTAATGTTTCAACTTCAATTCTTTTTTTTGTTGTTCTTAGCCCTTTTATCAAAGTTTTATTTATTTTAAAATTTATCAATCAATTTCAATTTAACATATATTTTTTTTTTCAAGATGGTTCTTATTCTTTTGATTTCTAATTTTCAATTCAAATATATGGTATTACATTTTTTAATTTATCTTCATTGTTTTGATTTCTATATTTTTTCTTGACCTTTTTATAAAAGTTTTATGTGATTTCAATTTCATCATTTAATTCAAAGTTATGGTATGTTATTTTTACTAATTTGGTCCTCATTCTTTCTATTTTTTCTTTTATTAAAGTTATTTTTCTTTTGAATTTCACCCTTTAATCAAAATCTTATTTTTATTTTTTATTTCAAATTTTATCCTTATTCTTTTGATTTTTTTCAATTTCAATACTCATTCTTTTAATTTTTATTAATCCTTTAATATAATTGAAACTATTTTTTTTCTTCCTTCAATATTTGAATGATTAAGAATTGAGTTTCATGTTTTTTGTTAAGATAAGGTGCTTCGGGTTTAATAACTTGAGTTACAGGTTTGAAAAGTTAATTGGAGTTGATATATTTTTTTTTAAAATAAGCTTTATAATTCTCTTTGTTTTTTTATCAGATTATTCTAATCTTATAGTTTGGACCACATGTTTGGCGGGATTTTCCTTATTATCTCGACCCTGATTAACAAGGTTATACATTTGTCATACTAACTCAGGTTGACCAAGATTGATTATTTTAGATCTTTTTTTACATCATTTCATGTTTCTATATTTAATGAGTTGTGAATCAAGTTACACCATTTGTTTCCTTTTTAAAAAATATTTTCTCAAGTTATTATGACTATTTAAAAAAAATATATTTTCATCTATTGTTGTTGCTTATTTTTTCTGTCTAATTAAAATAAAACCAACTTATTCAATTTAGTCAGGTTTATGACCTGAGCTGTAGATTTGTTTCTTCCTTTATAAAACATACTATGGCTTATGAACATCATTTTCTTAAGTATTTTTTTGTTTTAAGCACAATGAAAGAAAAGTTTGTAAAGTAACACAATATATAAAAATATTTAGGGATATAGCATAATTTTACAAGTTGCAGATGAAAACGACACGTGAGTTGTAGATACCATCTACAGCTTTTATTTTACAATTTCTATGTATAACATGTGAGTCCCAATGGCATTTGTGACTTTATTCAAAATTAATACCTAGAGCCTTTTTTTCCTCTTATTCCCCTCTCTTTTCCTATAACCATTCAACCCTCTCCTTTCCCTACTATCAGCGACCTTTCTCTCTCTCTTTCTTCTCTCCACCATGAAACTCCTAAAATACCACAAAATCACTTATCTCTCTATAGTTTAAAATTGTCACTTCCTTTTCCTCTACTTTAGGTCAATTGTTTTCTAGCCAAAACAACCACCACCGGCCACCATCACCACCCATATTTTACACTTAAAAGTACGATCACCACCCATATTTTACACTTAAAAGTATATTGAACACTTCTCCTCTATTAATTTGATGTAATTTATGCTAATGTGTGTTAATTTAATTTTATACAAAATTAGGGTTTTAAACCAGGACCTTTTTTTGAAAATTTTAGGGTTTTTTTTGTAATGAGGTAAATTATATATAATTTGTGTTGATAATTAGGTTATTTTGTAAAATAATCAATAATTTGTTGTTAGTAATGATTGTGAGTTAACAATATTATTTTGTTAGAGTTGATGTTGATTTAGGTTAAATTATAAATTATATCAAAT